TATTGGTCGGGGTTGGGGGCCCCCTTGAGGAGAATGCTGATGAGGAGAAGGCCCTGCATTGGATGGAGGGCCCACCCCCAGGCCACCCCCTCCACCACACCATGCCACCGCCCTGCCCAGGCAGCCCTTGGGCACTGGAGCCGATGAGAGGTGGGGAGCCCTAATGAGAAGGCCGTGCTGCTGGGGGAGAGAGCTGACAGGGATGAAGAAATATGAAAAGAAACAGAAAAAGAGCCATCAAGACCCACGGAGTTGGGCCAGGGTCCACAAACCCCACAAGGACAAGGACGGGGAAAAGCCCAGAGAAACGAGAAAAAGGCCCAAGGAGACAAGGAAGCAAACCACAGTGAGAAGCAAAGGACTTCAGAGACCGGGCAGCTGTGGACCCAGAGAGCCCCTGTGAAGATGGAGAAAGGTCTATGGGAACAGAAAGCCCTCCTCAGGGATGGGGAGTGGTCCATGGTGATGAGAGAAAGCAATGGACAAGAGATGCCCACAGAAATGGGAACAAGAAAGCACATCACAGAGAAGGGAGGCGGGCCAAGGAGAGTGAGAGAAGGTCACAGAAATGGGCAGGAGGCCCACAGACACCAGGGAACCTATAAAGATAAGGATGCAGACACAAGAGGCCCACTGAGGCAGGAGCAGCCAGCCCATAGAGGAAAGGGAGAAGCCCCCAGAAATAGAAATAGCCCCCACAGAGGTGAAGGGTGGTGAGTACAGGAATTCTCCATAATGCATAGAGAAATCCTTGGGACCTATGGAGATGAGTGGGTGGGGAGTAGAGGCCCTAAATTCTCTAGTCACCTGAAGAGAGGCAGTGGGAAAGGGCAGGGAGGTGGAGGGCAAAGCCAACTGAAATGGGAGACTTCCTCCCCCTCAGGAGGGAGCTGAGCAGGGCAGGGAGCTGGAAGAGAGAAGCAGCAATACAGATCTTGGAGTCGGGGTGGGTGGTGCACGCCTGGGGGGGGGTGTGAAATTTGGGGGAAAGAAACATGACAGTTGGTGCTGAAGGCTGAGTCCATGACTCACCACCAGCCCCAACTGCTCGTGATGGGGAGGAGACACTGACACACTCACGTGCAGCACCCCAGCACACGTGACTGCATGCCTCGAGCACACATGTGGCACGTGGCAACTCACACTGGCTTGGCATGGGAAGCCCTCTGCAGCTGGCATGTGGGGCATCCCCAACATACATCTGACACGTACATCTGACCTTGAAGGACCACCAACTTTGCACATACCTCCTTTGCTTATGCAGGGACTCCAGCTTAGAATGCTTGTCCTCTCTAAATTGAACCTGTCCCAGAAGTCTTAATCCTGTGCCACCACCTCTGGGAAGACTGACCTAGGCCTCAGTTTACTCCTGTATCATCTGAAGAGAAGGGACTACCCAACTCGAATAAATTGAGAGGTCCAAGCAGGTCAGAGCAAGAAAGGGGTCTGACAAGCCAAGCTGGCTGGCATTCCCTTCTTTTTCTTTTTTTCCAATTAAATATTTTTATTGATTTTTAGAGAAGAAGGGAGGTGAGAGCAAAGCATCCATTGGCTGGCTCCTGCATGCCCCCTACCAGGGATCAAGCCCCCAACCCTGGGCATGTGCCCTGGCCGGGAATTGAACCGGCAATCTTTCAGTGCACAGGATGACCAACCCACTGAGCCACACCGGCTAGCTGGCATTTTTAAGTGGGAAGAGGAGGCCTCAGCAGGAGTGCAAACCTGCCCAGGAGCACAGAACTTGTCAAAGGCTGAACCTAGCTGCCAGGCTCTCTAGCTCTGGCCCCAGGTGATTTCACCCTGAGGGAAAACCCAGATTACCAATTTTAGAGCTCACTGATTCCCACCAACTTCATTCCTCTACTTCTTGCACTTAATCCATTCAACATGCCACTGGGTCCCACCTGCCAGGCAGTAGAGCCTGGGCATCATGAGTGCAAAAACCTTGGAGTTAACTCCTGGGTTGGAATCCTGGCTCTGTCTCTTCCTAATTATAGGCAAGTTACTTAACTTTTCTGGGCTTCAGTCTTTTGTGTGTGTGTGTGTGTGTGCGCGAGTGTGTTTTATTATTGTATTTGTTTTTTTGTTTTTTGTAAAGTGAAAATAATAGCTCCTCCCTCTAGGGTTGTTGAGAGGATTAAACCGAATAATACATGGAAAGTACAATACTGAACGCTTAATACACTCAGGACATGTTCCAAGCTATTATTACTTGAGGTCCTAATAATAAAAATAACTCTTATGTAGCTTTTATTCTATGCCTCACAACAATCATATGGGACAGGGGCCATTATCCCCATTTCACAGACAGGAAAACTGAGGTCCAAGGGAGATGACTTGCCCAAAGCAACAGCTAGGAAGTGGCAGGGCCAAGATTCCACTCCAGTCCAATCCAACCCAGCCAGCCTGTTTTAATGACATGGGCCTGGTTAGGGAGTTTAATCTAGCAGTGGTTCTCAGCCTCTGGCCCTTTAAATACAGTTCCTCATGTGACCCAACCATAAAATTATTTCCGTTGCTACTTCATCACTGTAATGTTGCTACTGTTATGAATCGTAATGTAAATATCTGATATACAGGATGGTCTTAGGCGACCCCTGTGAAAGGGTCGTTGGACCGCCAAAGGGGTCTGCGACCCACAGGTTGAGAACCGCTGACCTAAGCCATCGCAATAACTCTCAGACAGGAACAATTTTATCAGCAACACAC